TATTTACAATCACATTTAAAAGTAGCACTACAGCTGTGGGTTATACTCAGGGTACACTTCACACTGGCAGTGAAGCGACGTGTCTACAGAGCCTCTTGCTTGAGCTGAAGAACTCCCAGGGCACAATTTTTCAGCTTTACAGATCATCTCGTTAAAGTTCGTCCACTTTTTAAAGTTTTATGGAAACCTTAACGTGCTCTTCAGCAGAGGGTAATCCCATAACTCTGCTGCCCACCACACACCAGAGAAATCACCCTGGGGGAAAGCAAATGGTGTGGCCGGGGATCCTGGCCAAAGTGTACTTCTAGGACACATTAAATTTTAACGTGTCCCAGTTGCACCCCATTTTGGGAAATGATGCCTCTTTTATTGTTGAGTTACTCAGGCCCGTAATCGGGTCCCTAATATGTTCAACAAAGCATCAGGATACATGAAATATCTTACCAGATAATCCTCTTTGGAATCCACAGTTCGGTTATTAAGTATTCCTTTCACTAATCTCTGTAATCCTCTGTTGATATAGGTCAGTAAAACAGTGGCTAAACCCCGCATGATAAAACTAAGTCTAGATTTTGCAGCCACTCTTCTTCAACAATTTTTTGTTGTATTTTTGTATTTTGTTGTATTTTTTCTCAGCTGCTCTTACTCCTGAAGGGATGTGACCAAGGGCTACAGATGTTGCACATGGCAGCTCCCAGAAGCCACGGGGAAGGTCTTTACACCAATATGTCAGCCAAGAGTTGAGGCCCACCAGCAAACTCAAGGAAAACCTGTGTGAAAGTCAGGATGGGGACTATATGTGCCGTTTGATAACTGAGATGACATTAGCTCACTGGTGTTCGCAGCCACTGGATTAGCAATCAGTGTTAAATCTTCACATGCAATGAAAGTTAACAATGCTGGTTTTATACTGTCCCAAAAAAAATCATCGAGTCTGTTTTCTCCTTTTGATTACAGTTCATTTAAGGGAAGAACGTTACTGCATGCTTTGAAAATGTTTTATGTGTCTTTGGCTGATAGAACACACAAAACGTTTGAATAGGCCCATTTATTTGAGCAGACGTATTAAATAATACTTTAAATGTGAACATGCGTGTCATAAATTTTGTAGTCTCTTTAAAGTAGGATAAATCTGTGTATTTAAAATAGTCTTTCTTCAAAGCCATCTTTTTCCTTTTTTTTTTTTTTTTTCAAACAGTCATAAAGGAAACTCTGATTTGTGCTGCATGAACAATGCCAGCATCATCATTTTAATGTTATCCATATGGGCTTCTAATAATAGATAAGAGACTACATTTGTATTGTATGTCTTAGAGACATTTAAAATCTTGATAAGGAAAGGCTGATTTCATTGGCCCCACAGTTAAAGGAAAGCAGACCCTAATTAAAAGAATTCTGTTCTGAATTAACTAGTTTGACATGTGCTAATTGACAGTTCCTGTGAAATGGTTCTAATTAAAGTCAATATGTCTTTTTCAATTAAAAGGAAATTAAGAATATACTAATATACATTAACAACTTAATCTGCCTTCAATATCCCATACATCAGCTGCTTTTTTTCTAATGTTATTGGAGAACCATCTGACATGCATCTTCTACTGTTTGGTTATGGTATCTCATTATTACTCAACAAGAACACAGGCACTGGTGGATATCCCCTAGAGCAAGAGGAGAACTTGCCTGTACCCCATGCATGCAATTCCTTATCTCTTGCCTGACAGAAGGTAAAATCACCTTTCCATGCAGGAAAAAAAAAAAAAAAAAAAAGGCTTTTCTGAAGAGCGAAGAGATCTCCTTATTAATTGCACACTGGGGCAAGTATTGACAATTAGTGAGTGGATTCAAATTTTTTAACAGAAGCCTTAGACGTGAGGGTGCACTGCTCAGCTCTTCTTTTGGTTATTCGGCCCAAGGAAAAGCAGGGGTTTGACTTTTGAGAGACATCTCTCATGCTCTGCTTCAGAAGTAAATGCAGGGCAGAGCTTCTCTGGTGGGAATGCTTTTAATTGTATATACAAGAAGAAAATAGAAAACATGCCTGCTTGGTAGAGCAGTGCTGAAAACCATCCCATTGTTGTTGCTGGAAATGTGACGTGGCTGTTTATAGCCGCAAAATTAAGTATTCAAATGTGCAGTTGACTTTTTGCTACCAATTCCTGTTGCTACTGACTTTACCAACTAAAAAAGTTCCATTAGAAATATCATTCCCCACGCCAATAAGATCGCTATCTCGAATGTATGGTGAGTTATGCAGAAGATTAACATCTGCTTATGTGAACTTTGCTATTGATTTTTCATTGTTTTTATTTTCTTGTTTGGGAAATAATAATGAAAAACAGTCCATATATTTTGGGGAGAGTAGAGTCACCAGGGGAACAAGCGGAGTAATTGACTTAAAAAGTAATTAGATAGCTCCTTTAAAAAAAAAAAAAAACTGCCTCATATAGGCTGGTAAGAACACAATCTCACTTCTATTATAAATTTTGTATTTCAGGGAACGCTACTTCAGCTATGAATATTCACTCTGCTGAATTTATCATAAAGAGAATATATTATCTAGCCAGATTTTACCAAAGCTTGGCTTGGCTCCAGCAGTTTTCAAGTGACACTTTCAAATCTTAACAAAAACATGTATCTATTTTTCAAGAAGATGAAAATTCAGCAAATAATCATTTACCTGTGACATCATGAGACAAATTAAGAGACAGAAGATAGATTTTTGTGGCTCCAGAAAATGAACCAGAGGGTTGTTGAGAGTGCAGCTGAGCTGCATATGAACTGCGCTGGGAGGATTTGGGAGTTGTGGTGAGATGTTATTTTTTACTTTTCCTTGAGCTTGTTGGCTTTCCTGGTATTTGTTTAAATTTATATTCATTTTAAGAAGCAACAAATATCCAAAATATTTCATACTATTGAAATGAAAATGACCACGTTGTTTATTATTGTCTGGATCTGTTTAACAGAAAGAACGCAGCCAGATTTTCAGGACTGTGTGACCAAATTTCATACGGGCAGCTACTTCATTTTTTGCAAATGCAAATGTCAATGAAAGGCTTAAAACTTTGTCCCAAAGTGTGTACTAGGCAGCCTAAATTGCCTCATCTTAAAGCTAAAAACAACTTCCCTGACCAGCCCTTTTAAAACCCTGTAGACCACTTACACAGAGTTTTGGACCTAACAAGATACTCGAGCTGAGCATCTTGGTTGTCAGTCTGGATGAAGCTTTTTGGTTAGTAATTATGAGACCACGGGCTTCAGAAAGTTTATTCACCCCTCACTTGTGCTGCTGGTGGATCCCTGTGATTCTAGAGGATTTTTAAAAGGGGAAAAGAATTCAGAAAACCTGAAGTTGGGAAAAGGAGTGGGTGAGATACAGACCCCGAAAAGTGACTGACTGCTTCTGCCAAATGGAGGGAAATGCCCAACTCCCTTTGAGGACCTGGGATAAAGGTCCTGATGTGTTATTTCAATATAAAAACTCTCTTTGACCAAACCAGGTGCTGAGCTAATCAAGTTCCTGGAGATATCCCTGTCGAAAGGAAAAATAGTTGTACATTTTGAACAGAAGCTCAAAAATAATTTTTTCTTATATTTTAAATGCAGAAAGCTCCCATAAGCAAAGTGGACTAGGTTCTTTGATGACATACCTATGTATCCATCATAATCTTCTAATATCTCATTATCTAGCTGGGGATAGGATTTTCAAGGATCACTAATAAGTGTGCCGAAGACAATATGTGACTCAGAGATTCCACTTTTTTGTCAGCATCAGACTTTTAACCATTGCCTCAGTACGGTGCTGGTGCAGATGCACCACTGAAGAGAGATGTTAAGCATGTCTCTAAACTGGTAAATAAACAAATCTCTGGGAGACAGCAGAAATTCTGACTACTTGTATTCATTAAAATTCCATGGTACTTTGCACAAGAGGAATGCTAATCCCAGAGTCTAAACTGAGACTCAATCCCACAGGCCCTTAAAATGTGCTTAGAATCGAGTAAGGCTACTTGCAAGGTTCAGTTTCTGGATCTGGGTAACTGCAGCCCAGCAGTTTACTGTCTTTTTTTTTTTCCAGGGGCTGCATTACTCTTTCTTCTCTCACCTCCTTTCACTGTGGCTTTGCTGCAAACTGCTAGGAAATTATTTCATATATTCCATATTTCAGCTGCATTTCATGAGCAAGTGAAAGGATGAGGATAACAGTACGTGAAGCACTCTGAAAATCACAGAATCACAGAATGCTATGGGGTTGGAAGGGACCTCTGGAGATCATCCAGTCCAACCCCCTGCCAGAGCAGGTCCACCCAGATCAGGTCCTGCAGGAATGTGTCCAGGTGGGTTTGAATGTCTCCAGAGAAGGATACACCTCCCTGGGCAGCCTCTGCCAGGGCTCTGCCACCCTCACAGGAAAGAAGTTCCTCCTCATGTTTCGGTGGAACTTCTTATGTTCAAGTTTGTGCCCATTTCCTCTTGTTCTATCCTTGGGCACCACTGAAAAAAAGCCTGGCCCCATCCTCCTGACACCCACCCTTGAAGTATTTATAAACATAAATTATTTTCCTGTTGTTCCCCTTGCTAGGTCTGCGTCAGTATTTCAACTCCTTGGTCCAAAGTTGGGGAGAAAAGGGGGAAAGAAGACAGAGCATAATCTAAAAAAAAAAACAGTTGTCTTGAATCTGAGAACACTTATGAAATGAGTTTTTCCTGACTCATAAAAGTAGTGATATTGATTTGGAAAAGCCACTATTTACATGTCAGTCTACAGGACATGTGAGAATCTTCTCAAAATACCAACTTTTGCAGTGAGCTCTGGAGTGCTCCTTGCTCACACAGGTAGTCTCAAAAGTCAGGGGAGCAGGTAGGAAGAGAAACCCCTTGTGTGTGTAAGGACCCTGCTTTATATACTTTATTTTCAAATAAGCAATATCAATACCCTCAAGAAAAAAAAAAAGGCAAAAAAAAATCACTGTATGAATCAGAGTAGTAAACTTGTGAATTACCTTCCTGTGGATGAAGGTCTGGATGCTTTTCAGTGGAGTCTGACAGCCCTGAAAGTCAAAAACACAATGAGACGAGGAAAAAAAGAGAGGAAAAAAAAAAAATTTCAGTTCCTAGGAACCTTCCAGAATGCAGCTATCTCTGTCTTTGTATAAATAATTAGTGAAGCAGCCTTTCTGTTTATATCCAGCCTAGCTAGATAGAGCTGTTTGTGTGGGGAAAGAACTGCTGTGTTCTTGATGCAAGCCAAGCACATCCTATAAATTCTAGAGTCCAAGAAAAAATTTGTCTTGGCAACAGGTCTGCTCGAGAAACCAGCATGTGGGACATGGGATGCTGTGGTCCATGTAAAAAAACCTCTGGTTAGCAAGTTGGGTTTTGTGTTGTTGTTTTTTTTTTCTCCTCAAGCATCTGTCCCTCTTTGCTGCTCTCCCTTCTTCCCCCCTCCCCGCTCGCAGCTCTCGCTGAACGCAGTCACATTTCCCTCGCCCCAAAAGCTGTGCAAAGTTATACATCCTCCTAATACATGCATTATGGAACGTGTTTGTTTTTGCTGTTAGAACAGATAAACATATTTTCAACATGGATTTGCTCATGAGCTGAAAAACAAAGTCATGTGGGGTGTTTTTAATATCTTGTTGGCTTCGCTATTGAGAGCATTTGGCCCCAGGCAGCCTTCATTTACATACCATGCCCCACATCTTTTCTATTATTGTTAATTGAATATTCACATTTCAGTGTTCCTGATCCTGACCCCTATTTGTTTCACACATTCTTTTGTACTCAGTGGCATTAATTTTTCTGGCATTATTAATAATATTATCATGCAAAGAATTATTTTGTTAAAGTCATCCCCTTCACTGATGGTGAAAATGACTTAAAATTGGTAACGAGTCTGTCTCCCCCTGTTTCACACAGTCAGGTAGATTAGTACAAAAAATAACCATGGCTAAGGAGGTGTACCAGTTTCCATTTTAAGCTCTTATATTTAAGTATTCAAATTTTTCTAAGCTTTACTTTGAAACTTTTACATTTTGGGCTAAGCTTTGTAATCTTCACCTTTGCCCCGAGGTGTGTATTTTAAGAAGTTAATTACGAAGATATACCTTTCTATCAACCATAACAAAAGTTTCATCTGGAACAACTGGCTATAGATAGCTGAAATATGACATAAAGCAACTTTCTAAGAATCTTTCCTTCCTCTATGACAGAGAAATATCATTTGAACTGTGCCTTGGTCCAGATTTTGACTTGATTACCCTCTGCAGGGTGTTTGAAGGATCAGAAGAGCTCCTTGGAAATCCATCAAGGAGCAATCCCACTGGGATGCCCTTCAGGGTGTTCTGCAGCTCCTGGGAGGTATCCAAACGGCCATCCAAAATCAGGCAATGGAAGGGACTCATACTACCTGAAACAATGGTTTATTCAGGCTATGCACCTTTGTAGGCAGCAGTGTGACTTTCCGTGAGCCAAGGAGATGCAAGAAAGCCCTCAGTTCTGCCTGGAGTCATTCTGAGAACTTCCAGACCTGCTCTAAGCCAGACAACTAGTTGTAGATACACCAGCATTACTTTATGAGACGAGAGACTCTGAAGCCCCAAAGCAAAGTTTTTATTCCAAGTCCTCCAACATTTTTGCCTACACTCTGGGAAGGTGTATTTAAAAACTGGACCTGTGGGTGCCTACGGACTTTGTGAAAGTGTGCTTAGCAGTGGGTAACCATCAAAGCTGACACCAGTCTTCATGCTTTGGAAAATAGTGGCCAGATGAAGTCTCATGCACCATATGACAGGGTATTTTTATTCATGTCAAGCCCCAGAATGCATGCCTGAGTCACACCAACACACGCTGAAGCAAGGGGGTTCATGCAGGTGCATCCATCTATCTCCATGCCCTCTATTAAAGGAGTGAGACGTCTGATACGTCTACAAAAAGAGAGCGTGCTGAAGTGCTGCAGAGATCAGTGAAATGTGCCAGGCAGAGTCCATAAAAGTATATGAAAAGTACCCTGTGGAGAGTCCTCCTAGTTCTGATCACAGGTAACACTAAAATGGGTAGCAGTGAGAAGCAGACTGGCACTGGGAAGCTCTCTGAAAGGTGTAGGCACCTTTGTTCCACTGTCACAGCTGCTGTACCTCTGGCTAGAGGCCTGTTAAATTTTTTGGGGTGGCTTCCTTACCCGTGATACCCAAAAGGGAGACCGTGTTGGTGACTGAGAGGGGAAAAACAGGCTGTGGATTTCAGGCACAGCTCAGTCTAATTTGGAAGCCGTTGGGAGAGCTACCACAGACTTCAAAGGGTGTTGGCTCAGCACCCACTGGCCTCTAAGTACCAATATCCCTAAATCTAAAACTAGAAATCCCATATAGCTGTTTTTTGAGGTCACATCCCTCTCTGTGTGAACTGAGCAACGTTCACAGAAACCCGTTATTTCTGAAAACAGGCACCTAACTCCTATGAGAGCACACACACAAGCACATTTGGAAATTTCAGTGTCAGGCAGGAAAGACGAAGGAAAACAAGGATGCACAAGAATTCAAGGGAAGGATTGATTGTCCTGAAAGGCATTGCCATTCTACCAGCATAGTCCACAGTCCACCTCAAACACACTAAATACTGCTCGTTCTCTAACCCCTGTGTGATGTTTGTCGTTCTTCTCAGAGATGTGGGAATACTGCAGGAAAATTATGCTTTCTTTGGTGGAGTCACACTGCACATCTATGAAGCTAAAATTTAATATAATCTCAAAGACATCAGATTACATGTTGCAGTGGAGCGTCGTCATGTTCTTGTTTGGGTAGCTGAGTTGACTATTATGGGCTTGATCCATGAAATGCCTTCCCAAGCCAAAAAAGCAGCCCACTGGCATCAGTTAAGCAGGCATCTGCCTATGCATGGATCAGATGGAAAGGCTGGAGGCCTGAAGTGGTCCTAAACCCGGGCCAGATGATGGTCTAACATGAAACTTCCTACTCAACCCAGCTGAAATCAATGGGGCCGTTGGATGAAAAACCAAAGAATTATTCACCGATGAGAACGGGGAATTTCCAGTCTGACCTTTCACGTTCCACATGGGCTGTGTGTATACGCTTATCAAAAATGCAATGTAACTTTATATTTTATAGCTTGAATCATATAGAATCAGCATAATTTATGCAGGATCCCACATGCCTGTTAAGTAGTCAGAATGCTTTTCATGAAGAGGAAGCGTGCATAAAGGCAGATCTGAGATATCTATATGTGTATGCGTGCAACGAGCAGACCAAATTTACTGAGAATAACTTACTGGAAAGCAACTCTCCAGCTGAGACATTTTACACCAGTTTGCAGAACACAAGGGGACAATTTTTACACGTATCAATAATTAAGAGGGGGTTTTTGAAATTCATTTCATTCCTGTTCCTGTTGGGTTTCTTTCCCCGTAAACAGGAAATTGCAGTTTTCTGGGATGGTGGGGAAGCATTATCCCGCAGTTTCTGAAAGGCCAGGCTCAGTGATGTAGAACAGCATGGGATCTTGTAGATGGGTTATGAGGAACCTATGAGGGTAATCTATTACTCTTGTATCAGTGAGTTTAGTGATAGGCTGAGGGGGAAGGGTTTGACCCTGCAAGAGGGGAGATGGAGCTGAGATGTGGGGAAGAACTTGTTTGGTGTGAGGGTGGTGAGAGCCTGGCCCAGGTTGCCCCGAGAAGCTGTGGCTGCCCCATCCCTGGAGGGGTTCAAGGGCAGGTTGGAGGGGGCTTGGAGCAGCCTGGTGTGGTGGGAGGTGTCCCTGCCCAGGGCAGGGGGTGGCACTGGATGGTCTTGAAGGTCCCTTCCAACCCAAACCAATCTATGATTTTATGATTCCATGCTTCTATGAACCAGCTGGGGTGGCAGCGGAGGCATTTGTGTTGTGTTTGTTTAGGTTTGGTGCCCTCCCAGACCTTCCATCACCAGAGCCATGACTAAAACATCATTGTCTCCAGAGGAAGGCAAGGTGTACCTTCCCTGCAGGCAGCCACCAGCCTCTCATCCAGCTGGTTTGAGGGCTGAGAGAGGTTTCTCGCCCCACTCTCAGAATCTTTTTGCAGTTTTTCGCCCTGCTTTCGGCATGTGGGCGAAAGATCATGCTCTGGCAAATTAAACTGGAATGAAAACCAAGCTTTTTTCTCTGTGTTTATGTTATAGCTTCCTCCTTATCTGTGCATGTACCGCCCAAGTGACAGCTCCCAGATCTGGGGTAGCCTTCGTGTCGAAGCTTTGCTTCTCACCACCACAGAGAGGACACGCTTGTGCGTTTTGTGCTTGTTTTTTGAGAAAGTATCTATTTATTGCCCCTGTATTTGAAGTGTACATGCATATATTCAAGCAAGAGCCCATGTACATTCATTGACGAAACGTAAATCCCACTCTAGGCATTCTATGGAAAACATCTGCAGATTTTAATTAAACTCGTGCATTGCAACCAAGGCTACAGCCAAAATCTTTAAAAGAGTGGTGAAACAGCAGCAGACTGAGGTGTAGGGCAGAGCTATAACCTAACAAATTAAAATGTCCTAACAGCCTATACACAAAGTACATGCACAAAAAATTGCATTAGTACAGCCCAGATTGCACACGATGAAGAAAGTACTCAGGATTTCTGAAGAATAATGTTTCCAATCCTTTGCCAACGTGTTGTCTGCAAATATCTCTATTTATTTTATGTACCTGCTATTTGGCATGGGACGATCTGCACAAATTATGTTGGCAAGAAAGATAAAAAAAACCCCAAATAACATGAAGCAAGTTCCAGAAAAAATGCTGATCTCCAAATAATATTTAAGATTTGCACCAAACAAAATGTCAAAGTAAGGAAGCAGAGAAAAAATGTTTTAGCTTCAGTGGTAGAATATGGATGCATGTAAAGTGTACATTATTATTATAGAGAGTCTTGTGATCCTTCTCTGTGTTTCTCTTCACAGCCATAAGATGAGGGGGTGATCACCAGTGGGAAATGAACAGTCACTGCAGTATCGGATTGGGCTGGAATCTGTCATACTTGGAAACCAGTGTGAATAGC